TTCGTTCAATTAGATAAACGGTCATGAAAAACCTTCGCCATTATCCCGAATAACTCACCGGATGATTCGATGAAACATGAAGATAGCCCAATAGCGAACATGCTCCTTGACTGATTTCAGTTTATGAACATGCGGAATCGTGACGTAAGCTGTCAATAAAGCACTAAATAAAAAGAAAACAATTCAAATTGAAAAAGAATGATAATCAAAGCAACAATGGGGACAACGAAAGGACTAAATTGGGCGATCACTCACACCAACGTGCGTTCCCGCACAAGCCAGTCTTTTCTCACTTTTAATCATGACTGCTCATGACAGGTGGAAGATATAGCCCAACTGATGAAAGTTGATTTGCCGGATATTTGGCATAAACCCGAGCACTCAAGTTGATCAGTAAAAGGAATTGTGCCGTCCGTCTGTCGTGCGATTGAGATTCCGTCAGAGAGAAGTATGAAACTGACTTATTGTGTCTACATGACATTTACTTCGCACTACAAAAAATAAACATTTACTGAAGAAGCTGTATTTCAGTGTNNNATTTCGAATAGGTCTGTCCAATAGAAATGCTGATGCGAATGAACCAATTGATATTCCAGTGAGGGGGATTATTTTACCTGATAGGAATAAGTTTTGGTGGCATGACGACAAATAAGTTCATCGGGTTTAACGTAGTAACATCTTCTACCTAGCTGGTCACTTCATGGTGTCCAGAACACATGCATCCAAATGTCCAATAAAATTGTGCTGCGAAAGCGTTTTGAAACGTTTCTTTCTTGTTGTTTGAGATACTCGTCTTTCACGAGGATGATAACAGTTTTCATAGAAAGATAATGACACTTGTCAAAACGCACTTTTAGCAGGATAGTATTCGATAAACTTGGGAGTTATACATCGATACTCGATAAGTAACTTTCCCTTGACATCCTCTGACTGAATGTAATCTAACAAACGGATTGCCTGCTTTGCAGCAAACGTTTGTGGAAATAGGCCGACATATGTATAATGCAGCAGACTTACGACATAAGGAAGAACGTATCCACGGCCACTGTGCCGTTTGCCACAATTTGAAATGTCCAACGTTTTAAATGCGTCTTGGCGAATAATATACCGTTATCTGAAAACGGATTGATAAATGTGTAGAAAATTATTTCACCGGAGTTTCATCAATAGTTCCATAGATTCAAGTAATTTCATATACTGTTAAAAATGATAAATCACTATGGTAAGTTTTAAGGATTCTCGTCATATAATTCGGCCATATTCGAACATATTTCAATGAGTGAAGTTCCAAGTAAAGATTTAGATGAAAGCAATGAAGCAAAACAACCAAGTCGCAATTTAACTATATGTAGAGGAGACGCTATTTCAAAAGTTAGTAGAAACAAGTAAGTTGAAGACCAGTGGGTAGAAGACCGATTCTCTCTAACTGACTGTCTAGCCTTTGCATCGAACGCAAATTATGAAATAACCAGCGGCAAATGCGACAACTCGAGGAGTTGTGAGGATCCTTTATTGGCAAAAACATTATTTTACTTTGAATTATAGAATAAACATATTGACCTAAACAATACTCGAGGAGAAGCTGCCAATCAAAGGGCCCGTCAGTGGTGGAGTTCGAACACACATTCTCCGGGGCTATAATTTGATGGGATTAACGGTTTGTGAACCGCCGCTGTCCAACAAAGGGCATCTTGGAATCAAGGAGGGGGTGTTGTGAAGTAATAAAATATTCATAATACAAGCTTTGAGTACACAGGGAAGAAAGGGAGCAGTTGTGTATTGTATTGTGTTTAACGTTTGCAAGCACTGGAGCTCACATTTCAGTTAAAACATCATACACGGTAACTGTCACAATGTACATAATCAACGGGGAGAATAGTTTTGCATACGTGGGGAAATTTCATAATCCAAGGTTAAGACAAAGTTCACTTGTTGACCGCTCTTTGTTTATGCGTAGACGAGCAAGATAAAGTATAGGTGAATAGGGGTAAGCGTTAATTCGAGATGAAAATTGACGGAATTTGGGAGCGTGTTGAATGATGAGAACGTCAACGTGTCAGTTCTGCGTGCAATGGGTGGGCAGGATTAGTGAGAATCCTCTCAGCAAATTTCACACAGGAATTTACGTGATACTCTGAAAGCTTTAAAGCTAACTCATTCACAGGAATAGAAGAGACACGACTAATAATGGTTAGACCGCGGCGTAAGACTTTGAAATCCTGTTTCAGTAAGCCAGGAAAAATAACTGGTGAACAGCAGAGTAAGATGGGGAAAACACACTGATAAACAAAGGTAGAAATAACTGACTGGGATGCGTGAAACTGCCTGAGCTTTCGTATTTGAAATGATAGGCGCCGCAGTTTACCAATGCAGTTGTGGATGTCAGTTGACCAGTGAAGATTGCTATCTATGGTTATACCAAGATGTTTGACAGAGTTCACCCTGGATAAAGGATTGTCTGTCGGATATGGGGAGCCAACAAAACCATATAAACACCAAACACATTTACTGGGGTTTAGGGTTAGCCCCGATGAGGAGGAGAATGACTGAATTTTATCAAGATTATCGGTAAAAGAGCTTAGATCAGAGTAAGAAGAAATGGGTTGGCACAACACGTCATTTGCATGTATCAAAATTCGTGCAGGAGAAACACAGGGAATATCACAAATATAAGTGCAAAATAAGTGAAGTGATAGCACAGCACCTTAAAGAANGACTTCTCCAATATTGTGGTTTGTACTCTATCAATAAAATAGTTAGATAACCAAGCTAAGAACTGCTTAGGGCATTCAAACAATTCCAGTTTTTGTAACAACTTAGATCGAGGAATGGAATCAAATGTAGAAGAGTAGTACAGAAAAACATACCGAACAGACTCAGCAGAGTTGTTCAAAGACTTAGTGAAAAAATGAATGAGGGTGGAGACAACGTCCAAAGTAGATTTATTAGGCTTGTAAGCAAACTGCAATTATGGATGTTTATAGACTGCTGAAGGCATTTGAGGATGGCTTTTTCATTCAATTTAAGAACTGAAGATGTTCATGCTATGGGAGGAAAAAGTTTGGAGAGGATAGAAGATTTGGATACTTTGGGGATTGGTATGAACCTTGCCAATTCTAAGTTGATCCATCAATGATAGATATTCAAACACATCGGTTTTCCAATAAATGCATATTCTCAAAACAAGCAGCACGAAGGTATTAAGTATATGGAGGAAAATGAGTTCTTCATCGCACATATTACATCCCCTGTGTGTGTTACAAATTGAGGCCTACGTGGAATGCAGTTTTTCCTCTTTGTGAATAAAACAGAACGGCGGTTAAAGTTGAACAGTGTTCATACACTACATATTTTTATTACACTCCAATGTGTGATGAACACTAGACGGGGTGGATCTCATAGTCATCGATATTAAACCGGTAACCTAAGACCGGGACTTGGAGTGGCAAACCTCAAGTTGTCGCTATGTTAGGTGTGAAATTGAACCGGACGACAGCAAAGCTGCCTATCAGCAAAATTCGGGGGGCGGGGGAGGGGGAAACCCAAACCTCGGAACACAGGGTCTAAATCACACAAGTGAGAGCGATTAACTCACTGCACCGCCACCACCCCACATACATATATATCTCCTAATAAGTAGTATGTGAATGATTGGAAATACTTTCCCGTCTACTCAACATAAGCTTCAAACGAAGGTCTAGCTTATAGTTTGTGAATATAGAGTTCAAACATTTAGCAATAAGGTAGTCATTAAATAGGCGTTTTGTAAATATTATTTGGGAAATGACATCAACTCTCCGTTGCCAAGTCTGCTTCAAAATTCTACACTTACTAGTGATAACTATTGGGAACAAAACGCAATGGCCATAAATAATCCAAGCCATTGTGATGACACGTATCCCATCAAGCACTCTCAACGGATGATCCATCANCCTGCTCATCGGTCATGGGTCTACGGGAGACATGAAGTAGTTTGACCGTATTCGTAGGCACCGAGAATGCAGTAAGCCATTCGATATATCGTAGTTTTCCCTCGAAAAACTCTGCCAACAAATGCGGGTGGAGAAAGTTGTGAAAGCATGCAATGATTTTCCGAATAAAGTGATTCAACTTAAATCAACGTAAATAGAGATCTGTAATTTCAGCCGCGTGCAAAGTAGAAACATTTGCCCGCAGTCGGATGAAACAAAACATTTAACAATTACACCAAAATGGATTTCAATTTGTCAAAACAGGCGGTAGATGATTGGATCATGTGATCGCATATGTGAGACGATGACCAAAAAGAGGTAAACAATAAAGTAGGCGACTAGTGAAAGCTTCAAGCCAAATCGTAGCCTCTAAGGGTCACTACTGTGGTGTTCCATAACGGTAGATCGTGACAAGCTGGAAAGTATAGGCTGTGCAGTGCGATCTATGAATAACGACTTCGATCCAGAAAATTCGAATTTATCCCTTGCTGAAACGATTTAACTTGATCGAGGGACACTAATTTGAGGAATTAAACAGTTAAACATCATATTATTACCCTTTATTTGATCCTTTCCTCCTTCAATTAATGGCCAAAAGGGAAGACCATGCGTAATTTCGTAAGACGAGAAACGCAAAATTCACCCTGAAATAACTAACGTTATATATTCCTCTCATTCTCGCTGAGTCAGAGTCAGGCTCTTTTTGAGTTAAACTGTTTTCTAATCTGCTAACCGGCATATTCAAGTATCATTGCAGAGCATCGTCGAATCGTCACAGCTATCGTCGTTAAAAATACTTACCATTGCACATCTTACACATTAGGAAGTTGTACATTTTTCTCACCCGGAAATGATTTCCAGATGCGTAAAACAACGTCCAACTCCACGATCTATAGAAATCTCGATGGACAATCCATTTCTATGAGAGACTGTCGACCATTAAATTCGTACCTGTATACTCTGCACTTGATCTGTTCGGAGAGAGAACACCACCACCACAATTATTAGTTAGCTCCATTTGTCACTGATTTTAAGTTGCAATCTACTTTCCGAAATACTCGTTCGCTTTTATAAAAATTCGGATATGAACAGTGGATGGGCAGTAATTATAGGAAAATACCCCACCCCCCACCCCAGTTGATCGCATATCACTGAATATAATCGGAGTATTGTTTATCACCCTGCAAAATAACAATGCTATTATTCATATATGACAGAGTCAATTGAGATAACAGTCTTGCCCATTTTTGTCTTGGGATTTTTAAACAAATAAGTGCAATTCTCAGTCGCTGCATCTGAGGCCCAGATGTTATTTCATAGCATCCTGCGCTCAGTAACATTTGTGAGAATTATAATGTAACTCGCTGAAATTTGTTAACAAGCCATTAGATGGTGTGGAAAAATCTATTACTACAAACCTTCAAACGTTTCTGCTGTGGTCTGCCATTGACCTAAAGGGTTACCGTCTATAGCATCATTGATTGATTGATTGATTGATTGTTTTCGTCGAAAACCTTTTGTAACACGGTTATTGGTTAAAATTCTGAACTGAACTGACATAGGAACATTTCACCAGGTTCAAGGGTAGGGTGACTATTCACATTCATTATCAGGGCTTCCTGTAGGGGTAAAAATAACATTCGGAAAATTTAGAAAACTCAGGTAATTCAAGTGTGCAATACGTTCAGCCCGTCCTCAACCCTGGAGGTTGGTACTGAATTCAGAGTCGGCTGATGTCCACAATGAGCGTGCAAATATCAGCCGTGTTGCAAACAGATAAAGTAAAATCGGATCGGTCAGCTACAGGTAGGACACTTGCGTTCTACACGGGATCAATCCTCATTGGGAACAGTTGGTCCGCACAGCATACCAGATCCAGTCAAGCTAGCTGCATGGTTCTCGCTATCTTTTCAGTTTACGCTTGGGTTGCTCTGTGCGCGATGCGAATTCAACATATCTTATTTGCGCTTCATATACGGAGGGGTGCCGCAGAGCAACAGACGTTGATGGGCTCCGTTATGAGATATGCAGTAATTCAAACAATATATACACAAATTGGGAAGATTCAAATTCACACCCTGGTGGCACTCATTACGAAACTTATGTAACTAAGCGATTAGATTTTTCATTTCGTTCTGCGAGTTTACTTACTTATTTGATTCACTTATTGTTAATAATAAACATGTTCTTATAATTTCGGTGCTTATTCATCAGAATTAGGGTTTGCTTGTTGTTCTGATGTTTAAACCCCATTCGTTAAACGTTGGTTGATTACCCAACTGATAAAACAGGTTACCCCCGAAAGAAAGTCAAGCTTCGGTTTAGTGCATTCTGAAATTTACTGAATAAATTGGGTGATAAGCACAAACTTGAAACCTGAGGGTATTAATTTTGCATTCGTGTAAAGGATTTTTATTTGCACAACGATCTTACGTTCCAAGATTACATCGGTTAGGGACTATTCATTAAGCTTGCACCATGACAAATGCAAAAGTCAATGTTTTTGATCAAGCGAATTCTCCACAACCCACTTAGGAAATCTGTGACTAGAACAGCACAAACGTAGACTGGTTACCGCATTTTAGACCAATCGCCTTATTTAATGTATATCTTTTCATTTGTTTGCTTTTATCCAATAAATTAACCGCTACTTTCCTGGCCTTCTTTAGCATCTAGGTGTAAAAAACCGATAGCTGATTCCAAGTACTACAGCCAACTCCAACTAATGTTGTTCCGAACTAGAGTAGTCTAATTTGAACACGCAAAAACCAACACAAAACCTTTTACCATCTTCTCTTTCATCCTCTGCATATTTTTGTGAATAAACAAACTAGATTTAAGATCGCGATTTGTCTTCCATTCAAAGGTGTTGATGTAACTAATCTAATCCAACAACGGTTACGATCGGTTGTCAGCCCGACTTATTACACAGCCAAACCCAGAATTGTGCACAAGACAAGGAGTATACCCGACCCCCGGTTAAAGAGCGCCCACCTCTGTTCGCCAAATCAAAAGTAATCTATAAATTCCAATGGGGGTGCGGAGACACGTACATGGGCAGAACAGAAAGGCAATCATGTATTCGGGTTTTAGAACACATTCCGAACTGGGTTCAACGCAAGGTTGTCATGGAAAAGTCCACATAGCAGGGAACTGGTACGGTCCGTGCATACAAACCACCGAGCTCATCGATAGCCAAGCACTTGTTGATGACGCAACACCTCGTGGATCGCAATAAAGCATTTCGAGTGACTTTCACTAACTATAACACCAGAATGCTCAAGATCGCCGAGGCGATTGCAATCAACCGACAGGAACCAATTGTGTCAACAAAAAGACTTGTTCGTCACCCTGGCTTTGCCTTGGTGACGTCTGCCCCCATTTACAAGTGTTTATTTTATAATTCATTCCCAAACCCTATATAAACATTGTATTTGTCTGCAGTAGGCACCAGTTGAGATGCAGTGAAATCGTCCAGGACATAAATCGTGCAATGTTGCTATACTGGCTTCTCTTTTCAAATTTATCACAGGAGCAGCTTGTTTCAATTGTAAAAGTGATATTTCCTTCTTATACCTTTTTTGATAAGTTGATATCAGTTATAACAATCGTTAAACATGGATAATATAAGCGTCCAATGTATTTAAATTATCATTTCCTTCTTAAGTCAAGTTACAAGTTGCGCGCTGGAGCTTCGATGAAGTTTGTTCATATATCTCAAATACCTTGTAACCATTTGTTTTCCATGATATGATTCTTGCTTTCATCAAAATTGTATGGCAAAAGAAGTTAACTTCACTTAAACAATACTCATTTTACGCAGGTCATCATCAAGCGCAGCTTTCTGAATCATGGATGAATCACAAAACATCTCTTTTCTGATCATCGAGAGTTACATCTAGAGTATATCCCGTTTACTGGCTGATCACTCTGATCTTGGTCAAAACTTTTAAGCTGAATTTAATTACCTAGAATGTACAATGCCTGTGTTTTTGACTACTGGGACAATCGACGAATATTTTTCTCACAGGGCCCCTCCAACCACCGTTAAATCAGATAAGCGGCCATTTATGAAAATCGGTGAAACTCATTGGAGTCTCAAGACAGCGGACGTCAAGGATAATAAAAGCTCTCTGTTGAATTTCGACTTTCAACAAAATATAAGATTAATTTTATTTAATTTCTCAGAACTGAATTTTCAAAAACCATTTACTGGTTTAACATTTAGAAAACATTTTTATAACTAATATTATTGCAATGCAAACAACACTGTAATCAGTGATTGATGTTTTTATTAGGTTTATCAAAGGAGTTTGGTAATGATAGACATCATTTATACTCACTGGTTCGGTAGCACATATAGCTATCCAAAGTTAGAGACCGTTTTTCGCGAACAGTCAATAGGTCATTTGCAACGCCATTCATATCCTCGGACAAGTCACTGTCATTCAGGAGATTCTCGGCATCTTCTGTGCTTAAGTCCATCTGAGCGGCATCTCTCAAGCCCTCCATCTTCCAGCAGACCAAAATCAATACATCCAATGTTGTACCACAAGCGAGTAGTATCAAAACGAATGTAGTGAAAGCCCTTAAAATAAAACCAGGAAAACAAACTTAACCAATAATGACAGCAATTACATTATAGTAATCATAATCGGAATCACCATTGTGTCATCCGTTTTACATGGTTGCTTTATAGAGGTTACATCGATTGATGGTATCACTTTCAAAAGGTTTGTTTTATCCTGATTTCTGAATACACAACATATGGAACTTGGAAAAAGTAAATCTAAGTAAGTTAATAAGATGCCATTTTTGTTCTTCTAAACGAAAAGTATCGAAGAAAATTCTGTTAAATGTTCTTCAAGAGTTCTGAGTTTCCTTGAGAAAATTTCAAGTCTTCAAACAATTGATTATCCGACGCTTTTTTTATTGCTTTTGTTCCTTTCACCTTTCAGTACTCTTTCTCATTATCAGTCCCATAATTACAACAATCAACAATGTTCTCAACCCCACATCAAGTTTTTACAGATACCAACATAATCTTGTACGACTTATTCTATTTGCAAAAGCTATTTTATTTGAAAAACATTAAATACATGACGACGGTAGACCTAAACATATTTTGAATCACTTTTACATCTAGCTGAATTTTGGAGTTTGTCCTTTATTGAGCATTCCGATCTTTTCTGTTGCCGGTATTTTTTCTTTTAATGGGGTAAGGAGGATTTACGTTGGGTAGAGGACAGTCGTTTTTTCGCTGCACGAGTCACTGAATGTTTGATTTCAATGAAACTATAAACGTATTATTAGAAAGGCCGATCACACAAAATCTGCAGCTTCAAGCCAGTAAAATTGTACAATTTACGCTCTGATCCCTGGGCACGATGATGTTTTGTCTCAAATTTAAAAAATTGGAAGACGTCAAATCCAGTCGCTGGTGGAATCGTTAGGTGAATGCAGTGTTTTTGGACTTTTCTCCTGCGATATAAATCATTCCTCATATTAGCACAGTCGTTTTCGAACTCAATTGTTCCCTTGGTGAACGTGTACGCTTTAACCTCTTTGAATTCACAAACCATTTGTATTCTAATATTTAACAGACTCTATCGCATGTATCTTTTTCTAACCTTTATCCCGGATGTTTGTTTGGATTTAAATGTACCTGCATGAATCCGCAATACTGCCAATACTGAATGTGTGTTTCCTATCCGAAGAATAGCAAAACTGCGTGGTGGAATCTGATCCCATTTCTTATTTCTTTCTAATGTCTTCTACTAGACCAGACATTATTATACATATATGGTTTGGCTCAGTGTAGTGTATCTTTACGACATCCGCACTAATGAAGAACATGTTTCAATAGATCACTAATTGCTATGATAGAATTTAAAGGTAAAGTCGATTATTCAAAAGGAGGAAAATTTACTCAGAAAAACGAGGTAATTTATGGCAGTGATAGACACACTTTTTCAATGACTTAAGTTGTCATTGAAGACATTTCACCAACCACTCATCATCAAAGTTAAGACAATTTAGTTCTCTCTTAATATGATTTCATTGTAAATTACTCACTTATTTGATAACATAGTTTAGCGTGTAGTTGGACATGAGCATGCAGAGAGTTTACGTTTATCAGATATACCTATTATCCGAAGGTTTTTATTTCAAAAATCAATTGAATACAATTGAAGATTAAAGCCTTTTAGTTTCCTTGGCATCTCAAATTTATTTTATGTTTTTGTAATATTAGGTTTTGCTGCATTAGGGACTTCTATCTTATTAATTGTAAACTCACGTCGCAATCCAATACCAACCGTTCTTTGGCAAGGCGTCTGGAGAACTGTGACAATAGGAGGACTTCTCGTCTATCTTGAGAGATAAAACCGAAAACACTGGAAAAACATAATCTTTCAAACATTTACTTACGCAAATTCAAAACAGAAACGACTTCCGTGAAGTTGCACGCCTTCGGTATACATATTCCTAAATCTGGACCTATAGTCTATGATATAAAGATAACTGCAACAAGAGCGTTTTTCGTCTTACTATTTTATCCGGAAAGTGTTGTGGAACTTGCAAATCAATCACCAAGTTACAGTAACTTCCCGGCGTTGCATTTTCTGTCTGCTCGGAAATCGGTACAGTTATATTTGGGTTGATTTCTGGAAACTTTCCTGTACACAACTCAAAACTGCCAGGCCAGTGAATCGCTCCACCCAACAAACCCGGTAAAAGCTTCCCAGATGCATCGATCCCTGAGGTAGAACTTAGTATGCATGGCACATCACTTACATTTGAATCTTTCCATTCCAGAACCGTGTATGAAACTGTCGATAATGGAGAACACGGTTAGAATGCAGTCATGATTCCCCAACTGATTCTCCTCCAGAAGGATTTTCTTCCTTGCGTTGACTTGTTGCACAAATTGTGTTGTCAAATTGCTATCAGGTAGTTCATATCCTGCCGCGTTATTGTTTGCAAACCAAAATAGTTTTTCCAACGCAGAATGAAAGGAATAACGTGGATATCTAATGGACACATTATTGGCTGAAACCGGGCAGTGGCATATGTTGGTCCACACCGACAACAATATTAGCAATGCTTTTAGAACACCAACCATCTGTAAAACAATTAACCTGGAACAGCGGAATACTCCAGAGATCAATATTGATCTCTTAAAGTGTGCGCTGAAAGGAAAGTACTGTAATAGACCTTTTAAACGCAAATGCGATGCGCATATATATATTTCGCTCTAATATTTGCTCCTTGTGGAGAATCTTTGAATTAAGTGATATATGAACATGTAAATATATAATTGATATATGTGCACATATATCTACATATATAGTGAGCGAAAGTGTAGCACTGAACTCATGCAACGATTAAAGTGAAGTTACTTCACCGAAGGTAGCAGTGGCTTAAGCAAAGGCGAAAGACCTAGCTAAAAAACGGTCTCAAGATATCAAAGATCCTGGCGAAATCTACGCTACAAAGGAGGAGGATACACGACAGAGATGCTCCAAACAATCAATGCCCGCAACCATGCGAAAGCATACACGCGAAACAAGTAGGCCAAAGATGGTGATAACTCTCGAGCATGTTACACTCGGTCTGAAGACACTACATCACCCCACCCCCCTTAAGAAGGGTTCCGAAGAAGGCTTGCAACCAACAAAAGTTACCGGCTAGGGATTTTGGTTTCAAAGCTAGGCAAAAAAAGAAAAACAAAACACCTGTGCGGACAATTTGTCTCAAGCCGAGTCCTAACTATGTGTAGCGACACCGGTAAGGCTCCAGCTGGGAAGAATGTTGGCCATAGTAAACAACAGCAAAAACAAAAGCAAAATAAACCGTACAATGAATGGATGTGGCTAACAGACACAAGCAATCTAAGTGTTTATGTACAGGCATTGACACTACGCAGATGGATTTTATTACTTGGTGAGTAGTTTGCATATCACACAGCTCAACCACGAGCAACTCTTCCTTTGAAGGGGAGTTAAGGCGCGATGAACCGTCTAACTGAGGACAGCCAAATGGTGAAAACTCTCGAGCATGTTATACTGTCGGTCTGAAGTCACTACAACCTCGTCGATTCACTGGGATTCATGGGGATTGACGGGCTCAAAAGCTGTTCTAGACAACCAGGACGCGCAAGGAAAAACCTCAAATCATTCTTCTAGCAGTCAGGGTAAAACAGAAGAGTAAAAATAGATGAATGTCGGGTAAGGGCCCATACTTGACTCCGGTCTTCGACTGCAAGTGATTAACCCAGAGAAATTCTCCCGCCTAACCACATATAGGTTCAATTTTCCTTTTTGTTTCATCTTTTTGTTTTATTTCTTTCCCTACTTTAATATTTTGCCTTAAGGCAAAAGGTTATAATCCTCTGCCTTACATGCATGGAGTGTGTTTAGGCCTAATGAAGAAACTAATTACTCTCTGGCAACGTGGTGGTGTTCGGAATCGTAGTACCATTGCTGGTCCACTGCGTAACCTTGTAAATCAACGCATGTTGCATTTGAGTGACTGATATCCAATGTAAGGGAATATTGATTCCCTTTGGTGATGATTGGGTTTTCTATCCAATCAATCATACATGGCGTAAATAGAGGTAAGAATGTTTTCATTTGGACACATTATTGTTATCATCATATCGATCTATCGCATAATATTTTTCAGATGTTTATTGTCTTTGGGTTTGCAGATTAAAAGCCAGTTGCCATAGTACCGTCGACCTGGGTAGGTGAAGGCAACAGGGTGAAGTGGGTTCGCACATCAACTCCAAAATTGGAGAGAATGGTGACACAACAGGTGCCTCCTCCACTCAACGCAAAAACCTATCAAGTAATAATTCACGAAATTGTGCGTAAGTACATAAACTCTCTTTTCACTTGATAAGCAACTTATGCGGAGGTTGTGCGGTTGCAGTGTATTCTGCAAGATGAGAGCGAGCTCCCGTCAACAGATGCAACTGTTTGCACGAAAATATCAGATAAAAGACAACCATGAGTGCTTCGTACAGTTGTTTGCATTTTTCAGGAAGAAGCGGAGGATAAGCAGCGATTCACGGAGGAATTGCCGAATAAAAGTATCGCTCTGGCGGATTTACGATTAACACCTCCACGGAAACTAACACCATCTGAGCCAGAACCTCTTTTGTTCTCTCGCCAAGAAACAGTTACGGTGTTACAGACCTGCACATCGGCAAGCTGGTCAGTTTATCATCATGGCGTTTTGCACATTTAGGTCCGTTTTTCCAAGTCCTCAAATGGAGATGACTTCCCCGAAATTCATGTCAACTCCAAGAAAACGGTAAGTTAAAAATATTTTAACGTCAATAAACGTCAATAAACAGAATGCCTTCAACGGGAATGAGCAAGCAGGAACAGTCGATCAATTCGACGGAACTGAAGGAAATTTGCAATTTATTGTCGAATCTCAATGAAAATCAGAAAGCCATGCTAGGTATGATTTCATCTGACGATTATTTACTTCATAGATTTTTA